GGTGTGAGCGGCAAGGATGATAATGATGATGAATTATGTAGGCTTTTTATGTCATTTTAGTTTCTTCACTGATTTTCTTTGTTAATTTTCCTATTCAGTATAACTTGTTGCAGTTTATAATGATCTCATGATTGAATTATGTCGGAAGCAACTGGAGAGAACAGGGAAAAAACCTTCCGGTAAAGAGGTACCGCGATTTTTTTCTGTGGTCGTATTATTGTTAACAAATTCTATTGATAGGCCCCGTTAGAAGATATGCATTCGTTACAACAACGCTTAGCAGAGATTGAGAGACAGATGAAAAAGGTTGAAAGCCAGATACATGTGGATACCAATACGTAAGGCACATTCCAATTTCTTCGCTGTTCTCCTTCTATTTGTAACTTTTAGCCCACCAGTAACCTTCTCTTCTTCTGTAACAACGAGAAAAGCGCCTACGCCAGCGGAGATCGTGCGGGTAGGCTTTTTTTTCGATGAAATGCGAAATATGTAAATAATATAAGAGCTTTAGCAGCATCAAAGAGAAGCATTGGTGGAGTTGGAACAACAAGTTGCACAACGTGTCAACCCCGCGGCAAAACAGCCCATCAGTACCGTTTCCTCGTCAACAGCAGGTAATCACATTGCTTCTTTCACATTTATAGGCATACTAATAAGAAAATAGTAAAGAATTTCTGTTTTTCTCTTTGCTTTGCTATTTTCAAGGTTCTTTTTGCGAATTTATCACAGAAGCCTTTGATTGTTGAATCAATCTTTTCTTATTTTAGACTCGGATAATAAATCTGTTGCATGCACTGACCCAATGAATCTCTTCCGTGGACTTCTGATGTCAAATAGTGGAGACTCACTTAACACATCCAAACCAAATGCTCCTGCTGCCAATAAGACAGCCTCAAGCACAGGTTGTTAATCATACTTATTTTACGAGATATTGGGTTTCAAGATTCTTCTTAAGATTCGACACTATTTGCACAATCAAGTCGAGACCCATTCAATAATCCCCTTTTCAAGATGGAGCAGAGTTAGTATAGTCTTTACTCTTGCATCCTCTCAACCTAGATAACATTGTTTTTCTTTCCAGTGGCTCGTCATCCCGGAGGCGTCGGTGTTTGCTTAGGATGTTTGGATGATGACAGTCAAGATCGCGCTTTGCTCACGCTCACAAAACTCTCTGAACAATGGAATGCTGAGACCGACTCTGATAGCGACGATTGATGTTTGTCTCGCCTGTGAATGAAATAAATACGGTTCTACTAGAGATATCTT